CAGTTGTGCTTAATTTGGTCAGGTCAAAGGACACAACCCAATAATGTGTTAACCGTAACCCGGTGAAGTTGCCACGTCATCCGGGTTAGGTTACAAAACTTGTGAATCGGGGTGTAGTAGCACATATGATGCATGGCCCGCCGCAAGTCACGTGGATTCTCGTCATGAAAACTGTCCAATGATGCATGTCGATCAGTGTCAAAATCCCCCGAGCATGGGTCCGGGGCCGCACCAACTTGACTGATTAAGTGGAAACGTATGCAGGCTTGGCGTGACTCGTCGAGCAGACTCACATGGAATCCTCATGTCTATTGATCCTATGTAGTTGGGACCGGACTCGGCTAACAGATTGGTGAACAGATCGCCAGCTCCAACTTCGGCGTGCATGCACCAGTGCAATCAGTCAAATCCAACTTATCTAAAACCTTCATGCTTATACCGTACGAGCCCCAGAACCGAGTCGGCTCCAGAAGTGGATTGGGCTGAGCTGGAAGTGGATCGGTTCAATGTTATTTTGTTCCAGTCTGCGCCGATCGTCAATCCATCAAGTTTTCTTGCTCTTTTTGGCCAAAATCGAAGGTTTTCAGGGCTGCAAGGATCTCCACGGGGCAAAATCAAAATCCGACTGCTGCCCTTGATGGGGTTCAGTAAAACAGGATATGTGCAGAAAACCGAGACTCAAATGGTCCATATTTGGTTCCAGCATTGTAGATAAGCGCTCAGAAAATAAGGTGAGCCAGTATAGAGTCTCGTACGGTCTAGGACCGTACTAGTACGCATTGAAGGGTTGCACCTCGTTACTTTACATTCAAAGACAAAATCGATTTCGATTCAAGAACCTACCGCAACATGACAATGACGTATTTTCCTCACTCACATGAGAAAAATATAAGCGCGGATTTCGTCTATCACGTGACTGCAAAGTACTTCAGAGCCATGCAACGATGTTAAAAAGGTCACACCAAAATACTTTACTGTGACAATGTTCTACCATTTGAGCGGTTCGTCTAAACCCAACAATCGCAACTCTACAATATCAAAGCCTGCAATCTTGAGTCTAGCTTTTGTTTCTCTATGGAAACTTGATCACCGCACCAGATGTCGATCTCCGTTTAGGAGACACTGACCACCCGCATTCGCAATTTGCGTAACGCTTATTCAGGGCCGCCCGTGAACTGGCCGACATTTATTTTCTGTGTTAGACTGGCCCGCTGCTCGCATGGCCGTGCGCACCAGCGCTTATTTTTGGGACCTTATTTCCGACGTTTCCACCTCCATGGCCAGCCGGCCGACGAAATGGTGTCTTCTTATCTCGGTCCTACGTATGAACTCAGCTTGTGCAAGCAGCTCGCATGGCCGTGCGCACCAGCGCTTATTTTTGGGACCTTATTTCCGACGTTTCCACCTCCATGGCCAGCCGGCCGACGAAATGGTGTCTTCTTATCTCGGTCCTACGTATGAACTCAGCTTGTGCAAGCAGCACACGAATTGTTTTTATTGAAAACTTCGATCTGAGCGAGCAGGCCGATTGTGCGAGTCTTCAACTACCAGCTGTGGCGTCAACCCAAAGTCGGTCGAGAAAAGGGCTACTTTACACGAGATGTACACCCATAAATCTGCTTTGAGCGGGCGATGCTGGGGTAAGCCCAGCTGATCTCAATGGCACAGGGCAAGCGCCACAAGGGCGTGGAAGAGGGGTTTTAAACCGACGTCTGAGAAGGCACCAGAACAACTAGACGCAGGGGTACCCAGATGTAGGTAGGGTATCCAGATATTCAAGGGGCTCGAGTGTGGCTGTAAAGTAGAGGAGGGCTGTTGCCGAACCGAAGTAGGCATGGAAGGATGTGGCAAGTGTAGGGGGCCGAGGGGGGCTGGACAGTTCAGGGAAAGGTAATGATGGGGGAAAGAGACCGGACAATTGAGGGGGGAGATTGGGGCAGCTTGTGACTGGTGTAGCTGGTAGAGGAAGACCCGAGTAATTCGGGGACTCGGCTCTAACGACTACGGGGGGTCGGTTTCTGGTAGAGAGGATGAGGCAAGACGACGAGCAAGTGCCGACTCGTCCTGCATGTTGACGAAGACGGAAATTAGTTTACCAACGACTTTTCTTCTGTCATTTGTAGAAAGGTTCTGACCTTATATGGAAGAAAGGACAGCCTAACCAGCGTAGCCGACAGCACATATCTTCTGGTCTTAAGACAGTGTGCATGTGCGCATTGGTTACTGCGGAAATTGCTTTTTAAGGGCCGGTATTTTAACGTACATTTAGGAGCCGATAACGTCAATAAAGGTTGGGAGGAAAATGAGACTCGCGAAAGGAATCAACAGAGCCTTCGCTAGAGCACGCCATTTTGGGCGGCCAAGAGCCCATCTGTTCTGATCGGCGCTGGGCTCGACTTCTTAGGTGATTACCGATGGTAGTCTTGTGTTTCCTGGAAAGCGGGACCTCAGAGGCGTATGGGGTACGCACCTAGACCGGCCGGCGGCCTAGACCGGTTGGCAGAAGGGCGTGGGGCCGTCGGTCCCACCGCACTGGTAGAAGGCGCTGGGGCAGCATATGGCGGGGCCGGTGCCACCCGCAGGGAAGCACTGCAGAAACGGCGCGTCAAATGAGTTTCCTGCCTCGAGAGATTTCAACAGAGATTTGTTGGGTATCATAGGTCTGCAACCTGATGACCGTTTTCCCATCATTTCAAGGGTTACAATGGAATCAACCAAACGATGGGTGGATTAAGCTGCAATATGGTAACCGGGGCAGTGAGACAGAGCCTGTCGATTTGCTGGGATAGAACAGCTTTCTGCCGTCACTCTCGGCACCACCTCAGAATGAGTTTTGGGCTGGACGGACAGCGTTTTAGTCCCTGTGAAGTGAGAGAAACGGGTTCCAACGCGGTTCTCAAGGAGTGAAAAACGACCGACCATGAACGCAACAACGTCAAAACAGGACTGGCCTCCTAGCGCATCATGGTTCAAGCGAGGTTAGCCATTGACCGGCGGCCGTATTGCTCTTCATGTCTCATCGGAAAGGCCAGTTATGGAGACTGTCGTGATCAAAGTAGATTACACAGCGGTCGGAGATTGAAGCGGGCAGCGAGACGTCGGGCGTATCTTGAAGCAGCGCGGCACATAACGGGCGTATCTTGAAGCAACGCGGCTCATAACGGATGGTTGAAGAATCGGGCAAACGAAACCCGTAGCAAAAACGGGGTGAAGGGAAACGAACCGGTTGGTGAGAAGAAACAGGCGAACGAAGCCCATAACGGAAACGGCACACATACCGATGATGCAGAGCCGCGCAAAAGAAACCCCTATCGAAAAAGGGAAATTGGAAACGTACCGGTTAAAGAAACGAGTTAAGAAACCGGGCAAAGAACGAAGCCAGTGGCCAAGCACAGGTTCATGAAAAACGCAACGGTTGGTTGAAGAAACCGGGCAAAGTACCAAACCCGTAGTGCAGATCGAAATCAGAGACGTACCGGTTGGTTAAAGAAACCGGCCTCGCAAGCGCCTCCTGTGGGGGGGACGCCGGCAAGTAGGGCAGAGGGGGACGGGGTTGAAGCGACGGGGGTGCCCCCATTATCAACGCCTCCGCCAAACGCGACACAGAACTGGACGGCATCAACCGCCGGGTCGAGGCTGGCGTAGACGCCGGAGCATGCTGTCAGGCAGCACGTCAGGATGGTGCCCCCGCTTGAGTAGCACTGCGCGCACGCAGCAAGGCACGAAAGCGGTCAGTCGGGGGGGGCGTCGAAGCACACTGGAAAAGATCTTGCAAGCGCGAGGGATGAATTCGACACGTGTGAATGGCCCGGATTAACTTAGAAGGACGGTTTTGGCCTGGTGCCGGGCTGGTTGGAACTGGTCATATGTCCGGTAATCAGACTCGGGCGTTGAAGAACCTTCGAACAAAGGAACAGCCCGCTTCAAAATGAAATAAGCCAAATATAAAGTCTAGTAGGGGTCTGGTAGTCAGCCTGGTTAGCAGAACAAATTCCGTGACCAGGAAGTTGGTCAAAAACGTCTGCATTCAATGGAGGAGAACAAAGGAACAAATAGATTTGTGAAGATGACTTACGTAGTTAGCGTTGACGTCGCTTGGGCACACTCCAGGAGCGCTTGGCGGAACTGTTGCGGAGCCTGCAAAGATTCGTATTGCAGGAGGTGAGGATTTTAAATAATCTTGATGACATCAATAGGATGTATATCCCCCTACCTTCATTGCTCTCCATGGATGATCAGAGGCTCAACAAATCAGATACTGGTGGGGTAAAAAGAACAGGAACCTGTCGACGATTAAACGCTATCTTCGTTGCGATGAAAAAAGAACTCCTCCAGCCAAGATAAATAGTGACCGTTGTGGTCAAGAAAACAACAATTTCCGAAGAACTCCTCCAGCCAAGATAAATAGTGACCGTTGTGGTCAAGAAAACAACAATTTCCGGAGAAGACTTCTGAACAAGTAGACTGAAGGACAAAATCAGCTCCAGTTTCTGACGGTCTAAGCGAGTCTAAGCGAGGCTTCTACAATTGCAGTCGCAAACGAGCATGGGAATCGAAGCAGGCAGACTCCGACGTATCGAGAGGCAACGTATCTGAGTTAAAACTCAGCGCTAACCTCCTTGATTTACAATCCTTTGACTTCCCGTTTCTCTTATTCTGTGAATCTTCTGTTCTGCCCTACCTGCCTTTAAGTTCTTCGATCAGCTTTGCGACAGCATCAACCAGCTCCCCGAATTTCCAACACTAAGCACTTCAAACTCACGCAGCTTACAAGAGCCGTCTCTTGTAATGATACAACATTCTCGGGGTGACCAGAAAGGAATTCTCCCTCACCGTTGCCCTGGAGTAGCTTCCTCGCGGTGGCCAGACTGACGGCGGTAAACTCGTTCTGTGAGACGCGCTTGAGGGCGGGGTCTGCGGCAGCCTGGAGCTGTGCGAACGACTCCTCGAAGGCGGAGAACGGCTCGGGGGTGACGATAACGTCAGCACCCTCCAGGTCCAGGCAGGAGACGGGCTCGCCGTTCATGGTGGCGGGGGGAAGAGGGACAACAGAGAATCTGCATACGGTAGGGAAAAGAGAGATCCATTTGTAAGAGTTGCAACAGCTGCCCAATACTGGTCGTAGGGAAGGAGACGAAAAGTAGAATCAGACAACCGAAACTGAACAGACGAGGCTTCTTCTGCATTCGACACGGATTGACTGAACCGATTGGAAAAAAATGTGCAAAATGCACAGTTCGAACATGCTGATAAAAGATTTTGGCCACTCTTGGAAAAAAGCATTCATCTTGCGACAACCATTCTTCAAGAACAACTTTCTGAACTCGATAGTCAAGCCACTCAAGAATTTGGTAAAATCATGGCAGACCGAGTAGAATCAAACATACAATGCCAATCCAGACGAGCAGTACGTTGGCTCACCCCTTGCCAGCTGGCACCGCCTTCATGAGCTGCCACGTGACAGCCGCTCCGTGCTTGAGCGAGTTGTGGTGCAGGAACAACGGCACGCCGGCGGGGTCGTGTTGCACCATGGTGTGCCCGCAGAATTCGCCAGAGTCCGTTTCCACGCCCGCGGCCGCTACCGGCGTCTCGACCATGGCAAACGGCGTTCCAGTCGCCAGGAACGCCAGGCGGAACGCCTCCTTGTCGCCGTTAATCATCTTCTGGAAGGTGCTGTCCTTGGCGAAGAAGAATGCCAGGTTGAGAGCCCCCCAGGCGCGCCGTTTGTCAACGAGGATCTGCCCCGACTCCTGCTCCTGGCCCTGGGGGGAAGCTCCCAGGATGGACCAGATTGGATTTTCGGTGGCGGTCCGCCAGAAGTCCGGCCAGAACAGGGCGCCGGTGGTCTGGTACTGAGAGGAACGGAAAAGGGCAGTGGGGTCGGCCATGGGGATGTTGTCGGCGTCCAGGAAGAGGACTTCCTCGAAGGCCGAATAAAGGATGGCGAGAGGCTTCGCCTGCAGCAAAAAAAGGGGGAGCTTAAGAGAATTGTTCCTGGAGGGTTTCGGCGACCGAGGAGGGGTCTTAAGTGCATGGATAAGGGTAGACTGAGCTGTTCGAATCGTCCTCTCGTTCAGTCGTCTTCTCTTCAAGAAAACCGGTTGAGATGGCCAAGCTGCATCCAACCAAACATTCTGGTTTGGAACATACGATCAGAATGCATGGATGCTAGATTTCGATTTTCAGGATGTAAGATGACAATATGAGGTTGAGGACGACAGTGAGGATGACGTTCCAGAAGCCTATGTCTTTGATCCAGAATGTCCGAAGGTCACAACCTTAGCAAAACACATGTATCAGAGATGCTAGAAAACGTCAAGAACGTGAAGAGCGAGGTGATGAGACCCTGAGCCTTTGGTGAACCAACAGATTATGAAAGTAATGGCCTACCAACATTCAAACACGGCTCTCAAGTAACCCTCAAATTGAAGACGATCAGACAATCAAGTCAATGCAGGGCAGATCAGATCGTTTGGATGGCACATTTCCAGTATACAATGTGGGGTAAGGTTGCTCTTTGACGAAGTATGCCAATGGCGCTGAGAGTTTCGACTGATTCGGAGGCAGTCAAAATAGACCTCCGGCTTTATGGTTTGCAAGAGACTCAGAAGCACTCCTGGAGAGTAGCTAGCTTCATAATAAACAATGCCTTAGCAACAAGGACAAGAAGTTCTCCTACCACTTTGAAGTTATCATCAACATAAACCAGCCAGAGTTCTGAAAGATGGTGAGATGTTACAAACTGTGATAAGGAACATGCAAGGTAGTGAGATGTCCCTTGCTACATGCAAGGCTGTTCTTGATCTACCAATCAGACCTATTGGAAGCCTGATCTCAGATGGAAGACTTGAGAGCATGCCAGTGGCAGTCTCGGTCTGGCTAAGTCGAAGGCAGTCAAACCAGACTTCCAGCTATCAGGTTAATCATAAGGCTTTCAAGTGTCGACACTTCTGTAAGAGTAGTTTCCAACCAGCATTGACAACGGTCGTGGGGCATCTCTGGGGGCTTTAGTCAATGGCCACCCACCATTGACTAAAGGCAGACTTGGAAGGGGAGTGCTTGCCAAAAGAAACCAAACCAGTCTCTTTTCTCAGCCTTGGTACAGTCAGAGGGACCTCTTCTTCAGGTCAAGCAGCGAGAGAGAACCAGACGTTGGCCAAATGTGCAGAAGCTGCTGAGGGCACAATGTGACTTACTTGGAACACATGCTCTCCTTGGCTGGTGACTGTGCTTTGCAGGTCGGCGTCAGAGGCATAGTTGGCCACGTTCTTGATCGCAAGCTTGTCGTAGCTGGCCAACAGGGAGCCCATGATGTCAGAGCTGACCTCACCAGAGTACCAGATCTGCAGGGGGAAATGGGGGAGACCTTAGAAATCTGCCAGAGGGGGTCATTCAATCACTGCCATGAGGGGCAAGGTTCAGAGGTTTGCCAGAAGGGGGGAGAGGGGAAAAGTAGAAGCAGCAGATATGGGGGAGGTCTAGAGACTTGCAAAAGGAGGGGGAAGGGAGGGGTGAGGGGCTCCCAGACAGGTTGCATTATTGAGATGGTTGAAGTAACAAAAAGGAAGGAGTCCTCATTAGGATATCTGTGAGGAAATGGGGGGAGGGGATGGAGATCTGACACTAGATTCTGAGGGAGGGAGGCTTAAGATCGGGCGTAAAGGGGAGGGAATTCTGAAGGTCCACAAAAGGGGAAGAGGGGGCCTAGCTGTTTGTGCTTTGGATTCTTTGAGCATGAGAAAAGTGGGGTTGTGGATGGACAGCCCATGTGACAACACCCAGAGATTATAGCCAGGGGCCGGGGAAAGCTCTTGCTAATATGCTTGGATTAACATGTCAATTCCCTGAGGATTGCAGGCTCTTCAGGTCCTCTGGGTATGTTTCATCTGACAGATCTGCTTCCTCGAATAAAAACAGGTTTGCACAGGGGATTATCTTGGTTCAACAACAAAGTGAGCCGGAATGCCGTGATGGATTTGAGCGAACATCAGAACTACTTCACAAGATATCATCTAAGTTTACCAACAAAGAAAGTTTTTCAAGAGAATAACATGATGAACCTGAACGAACCAAGAAATACCTCTTCTATGCTGAATCTACGGTACACTGCCAAGTGCTCTGGAGGCCTGATCCCACACTCAGTTCTCCAAAAATACACCAGAATGCAAAGACATCCATATGCTTCTCATAGTATCCCTGAAGCAACCCAAAGAAGCGGACCCACAAGCAAAACAGCCCCCCAACAGGAAAGCTGCTTTGGAGAGGGCATGGGTCAATTACAAGGTCTTTGCAGCATGAATAGTTTCTGCTGGAAGCGGCACACAAAGCTAAGAGGAAGAAACAGAAGGTCTGAACAAGAACTTGATCCAGCTACAAGAAGGGCAAAGCCAGCAAGAACTGGTTCATAAAGGATCTCAAAACCTTGAAAGCAGGTTCTTGGTCATCTTTCAATAATGCACTCCCTATAAAACACGTTCTCAGATAGCAAGCAACCACCTCACCTCCACAGGAAGGGTGAACCCCTCTGTTTGGAGCGCTCTCAACAGGACTGGCACATTCACAAGATCCAGCTTGGTTGCCGTGATCACCAGTCCCCGTCCCGCGAACCGTCCTGTGGGGAACTCGGGGGCCTGGGCAACGGCAGCCTTCCAGGCTGCGGTAAGAGCTGCCGAGTCGCCAGAAAGCTCAGCCCATTGGGGGGAAGACAGGGAGTGGAAATTGCAATCGACATAGGGCTCACTAGGGATGCAGAGGGCGGCGCTGGAGCGGGCCAGGAAGGCAATGCTGAGAAGCGCCAGAAGAAACGAGGCGGCCGCCATGGTAGAAGGCGGGTGCCGACAATTCGGCTGAAGGGAAGTGAGGAAATGCCAGTGGACTTGAGCTTATCGCCCCGTTCTCCTGGATGTAAAGGCGGGACTCTTGAGCTCTCTCAGAAAGTTGCGACTTCTGAGTTTTGAGTGTTTGGACTTTTGGGGCGGCTAGGTCTATTTAAGGTTGATTTGTGACTTCTGATAATGATGTTGGCAGGTGCAGGCCCTGTGCAGATACAGGCTCAGCTGAAAGCGAAGTCAAGGAGGCAAGCAGCTGAAACGGTTCAAGTGTGATGGATGCAGCTGGAAGCCTGAAGGCTGAAGCCTGAAGGACAGAGCAAGTGCTACCAAGTGCTACTGTGACTCAGTGCACAATCATGCGGCCGATCCCTAGCAATCATGGTTGGGACTGCTTCCACCGTCGGATGATGGAATTTGACGGCCCAGACGTTTGTCGCCATCCGATCGGCCGAGCGATACCATGGTCCATACCGTCACATACTACCGTACCTCGCATCCTGCGGTGCAGGTCCTGCCGCGGTCACTGCGCAGTGCCGGTGGCTGACCGTACGTGCGGTACGGCGTTGCAAATAAGTTCGCGCGGCGCGCGGCGACTCGAGGGTTGACTGACCTACAGCCTGACATCACACCGCAGTAACCAGTTAGTTTTAACCATAGGTACATTGCGTCCCACCGTCTCCAATCATGTACGGCCTATGTACTCATGGTTTTCGGCGACACACCTCCGGCTACCGTACCTATTTAGTAAAGTACAGCTACCTCTATGCAGGGAAATTGGGTCGCCCAAGTCGTTTTGACACGTATGCATCTGGCCTTGCCCACTGGCAGTGCCCACAAGCTACCGTAGTTACTGAACTTCTCAGCACACGCCATTGTCTAGAATATTGCCCTGTTTCACATAAAAGGCCGTTCATCGTCGAAACCGGTGAATTTGGTGACGGGAGCGCGGGCAAGTGCGGCAGAATCTTTTGACGGATTAGCACGTACAGCACTTTATCGAACTGAATCTACGGGCGTTTGGTAAGGCCGTCGAAAATGTCTTACCGGGATGTCTCAATTGAGCGACCTTTCCACGCCAATACAAACCGTATGGGTATCCCTCTGTCGCCGGACTTCATACATCTCAGGGCACGGTGGATGAAAGAGAATTCGTCGCCATCAGTTACCTACCGTAATTTTACCAATCGGTTCAATTAGTTTGATTGACCTCCCGGTAGACTCTTGAGAAAGCAAACCGACCACTATACCCGGTCTAAAAGCTAGCCGGCTACCCGGTAGCTCAGCTCGGTGCTTCGTTCCGCGCTTCCGGCAACCTTGGTCCCCGGCGATCTGTAGGCGAAGTTCAGTATCACATCGTAGATTCTTTGCCACAACTTGAATGCCACATCTCATGATGTGCACAGCTATACCTAGCTAGAGGGATGATCCCTGCCACCGCCAGCTGTGGTGCGCGCGAAGTGCGCACTGCGGCGGCCGGCCGGTCAGGCCCGGCCGGCTAGGTACTTACCGGTACTACCGTCCGCCCTGTAACCTTAAACCCTCATGTAGGTAACACCGCTTGCGGAGTCAACATCTCTCAAAAACACCTTGAGACCTTGAAAACTTCAGAATCATCAATTAAAAGGACAAATCTGCTCCTTTTGGTATACTTGGTATGAATGATCTGGCCACACGCAGCTCATCATCACGAGGTGGCAACTCAAGTTTTAAAACACCCCTTGTTTTATTCATCTTATTTTTCAAAACCGCATAAAATGAAAAGCACCGAAGTTTTATTCATAACCAACGGATAGAGCTCGTCAAGAGGCGCCTAAAACACCTCTAATTTTAAAAAATGGACCCCCCCTTGGATTTTAAAACAACTTTAAAACAAAATAAAACCACTAAAACAGCCGCAAGACATGTGCGTGCAAGATGAGGCTAAAAATATCCCCTGTTTTAAAACGGCAAAACAACTAAAACGTTTTAAAATGCCATCTGCTTAACATATTCAGGTTTTATTTGCGATAAGCTGATTACTTTCAATCTGGATGGATGTGATATGTGCACGAAAACAAGAAAAGCCTACACACCATAAATATGAAAATATAATGTCTTTGAGGCGCTTTTGAACCGTTTTAAAACGTTTTAAACCAGTTTTAAAACGGGCGAAGCCAAATGGGGTGTTTTACTCCGCACATGACATGTTTTAAAACGGGAGTTGCCACCCCCGCACGATCATCAGGAGTCTGCGGACTGGTGGCACCGCGTTGAAGCGGATCTACCGGTGCAGCTAAGTGACGGGACGATTTGCTTGGCAGTGCTAATGCTGCGGTGCCACTGGTACGCCTAGCACGTTTCCGGACGTGCCTCTCATCTATGAGCGGAGCACCAGTGGCGGTGCTAACCGGCTCTCGAGTGGATGCGCTTCTCTTCTTTCGGCATACTGCCATGACAAACTTGGAGATGTCCACGGTCTACGCCACGCACCTGCAAATGCAGCGAAATCATCTTCCGTGAGCTCTGCAAACGGTCGGTCATTTGGCAGTAATGCCAGGCGATCCCGAAAGAGAAGACCTTGCTTTTTGATCACTTTGCATCGCGCGCGCCAGCAGCGATGGAAGGATTCTGTAATCATTGTATGCAATAGACGTCCTATCTGGAGTGCCTTAGACGAAGAGATACAGAGTGGCGCGAGCCATTCATGAAACGACACAGGAATTTGCGCTGCCGAGAACAGTTTATCACGGCTGACCGGGGAGAAAATATGCTTCTGCAAAGCAGCATTGATTTCCGTATTGGAAGCAGCAACTTGTTGGACATATAGAAGTTGCGCAGCTTGTGCAGCGACCGTTCGACGTTTTGTTTTATGATGAGGACAATCGAAAAGTATATGCTCGATGCTTTCAATAGTCTGAAGGTCACATAACGTGCACTGTGTTTCGAGGTACATGAATGGTCTGATTTTATGTAGGCGGCGAAATGTTGGCAAAGAACTTTCGTCCAAGGATTTGAACGAGGAATTTTCGGAGTGAACTTGTTGATAAAGTCTTGAAACGAAGGAGACTTGGGAGGCGTCTTGCCACACGCCGAGCTGATAGAAGGTAAAGATGCCAGTCCCCCTTAAAGTGGTAATGTTTGTTTAATTTCTTATATGTTTTATGGTATAACTTTTGCAGATTGTTTTCAAAAGTATATGGTCCACGGCAAATTGTTCGTCGGACTGTGTACTCTTACTACCACGGGGGGTATATATTTTTTCTCCGAGGGTATTGTGAGAGTGGACAGAGAGAGCCTCTGTCCTTTGCAAGTCGATCTGCTTTTTTTTCCATTTTGTGTTGATTCGTCTTTGGTCAGTGGACCCATCTGTGTAGACGTCTTTCCACGCGAGTTCCCGCTCGTGGGCTTTTACATGCAGGATTTGAGTACTACCGGTACAAAGAGAAACTTCGTCTAGAATTTTGATAATGAGCGATCTATCCTTCATATTGCGAAGCTCGTGCTGCTGGGGGGCATGCAGTGCAAATTGATTGATGGTTTGAAGTAATAGTAGCCTATTGCAAAAGATTTGCAGATTCGTATTCTGATGTGCACATACAAGCGCAATAAGGATCCCCGTGGCCTCTGCACGAGCTATGCTTTGCTGTTCCGGAATGCGAAAGCGGAGGTTCCGATTTGGATCCATTTGTGGAAGTTCGGGTAGATGCTAAGACCTGCGCCTGCGCAACTCTCGTTTCGAGTTGCACTGCCATCTGGATATGCACGCGTGATAGGATGTGAATACTTTCGGATTGGGCCATAATGAGACTTGGTTTCGGTAGCGAATCCGTCATTCATTTGTTGACCATGTACGTGCGGTTCGAGGACGCTGTCATGCCATATGCCCTCGGTGCCAGATCGCCTCGGCTAGCCAATCAGCGTGTGCAACACGTGGCGCTACCGTAGTGTAACTGGTTAGTTTAACGTAAGATAAGTTAGTATAATTTAACCACAACCGCGTAGAATCCGACTAGGATAGGATCTGGACGACCACGCGGTATTGGATGTCCAACGACCAATTACATCGGCCGGCATCCAATGATTATACGAGTCAGTTCGAGTACGTTCTGCCACGATCCAGGGTACATAACCAGTTATGTTACCGGGTATGTTACCGGCGGTCACCAGGTTACGTATTAGGAACGTAGCGTGCTCGCTGCATGCGGACATCCAACTCCGTCAATGCTATTGGATATCCAAACTCACTTGGCGATCCTACGAGTACTTAAGCCAATTGGGATCACCATTCCCAATTCGACTTTCATTCAAGCATCGGAAAAAGCGGGTCTCGCCGCTCCTATTTAGGATAGGGTGCCGCTCTTAATAACGCTTACCCATCATGTGCCGGATGGCTGCCGGTTATGGTGCCGCACAGATGCCCGGCATCAATGCATGCCGTGCGGCCGTCGGTACCGCCGGTCGGCATGTACATATGCAACAGCGCGGCGGTCCGTATGCCGAC